TTTTCTCTTCAACCTGCCTTTTAAGTTTTAATTTTTTTAAACTTTTTGTTTTGGAGGTACTGGGGATTGAAGCCAGGGTCTCACACATATTAAATAACTGAACTACATCCCCAGCCCCTTTTATTTTTATGGGTTTTTTTGAGACAGGGTCACCCTAAATTACTCAGGTTGACTTCCAATTTTCAGTTCTCCTGCCTCAGCCTCCCCAGTAGCTGTGATCACAGATGTGGGCTACTACATTTGGCCTTCAACCTCATTTTATACTTGGCCCAGTACTCCTTAAGTAGTATTACTTATATATTCCCTGATTTAGAATTTGAAAAGCAAATGATTAAAGTTATTTTCCCTTGCTTCTTTCTCAAATTGAAATCACAAAACCAGTCCTTTAAAAAAATGTGGTTCCACATTGAGTACTTTTCATTTTCCATAAAAAATCACTTAACAAGTAAACCTGACTTGGTAGTTCAGAAACTAAACATTGGTATAATGTATAAGGACCTCACAATGAAGCCCAATCTATAATAGTATTAAGAGATTAATTCACAGAAATAAAGTTATAGAAGAAAATCTGACATCTGAAAAATAACTACACATATAAATAAACATACAGAGACAAGTAAATTTAATATGCCTGCTAGAGAAATCCAAAGTAATACATGACAAAGGAAAACCATAGTTTTTTGAACTTCAAATCAATTTTATAGAAAAAAGGTGGAAAAAGTTGATTCTATTAAATTAGATTATCAAATTAAATATAAGTTTAAATTATATTCTTTGGTCTCCATTTTTATCAGTAATGAAGAACTGGCTCTCCCATTCCTGGTTTCACAGGACATCTCCAGTTTTCATAATTTAATTCCCTAGAGAAGTAGAGGAATTATGTAAGAGATTCAAGTTATTGAAGGGTCAGAAACATCTCACCAATTCTGAATTTCCTTTGTGGGAAAGATAGCAGAAAAAATGTTAATTTCCACTAAAATTGACCCTAAAAAATCCATTTATCAAGTAAAAGGTCTACTGCATGATGTTTCTAGATGTGATAATTACAGCCCCAAATAAGCCAAATTGTTGACCACTTGAAGCTACAAAATACCAATGGTCCCTATAAACTCTAAATTTCTTTAAGGAACTTATTTAGGGCTCCCCGGCAACCAAAGGATATTATAAAAAGAGTTCTGAGGTTTTTTTGTTTGATTAGTTGAGTTTTTTGCAGTACTGCAAAATGAATCCAGGGCCTCGCACATACTAGCCTCTACCTGAGTCACATCTCCAGCGTGCATAGTTCTTGTTGACAAAAATTCTGTTTTACTCCGTTAAAATAAAGGAAGTTCTTAAGCCAGAAGTACAATTAGTTGTTATCTCTGTGCTTAACTTAATACTTTTCCTTCATTTAAAGTCAAACTCAAAATCCCAATAAGTAAACAATCAAAAAGTATACAAAGATATGTGTGCAGTTCCCACTATAATTCCTACAAATTAAATGCTAGATGCTTGTCTATAAAAGTCAGGATTTTCAGGTGATTCGAAGCACAGAAACACATTATTAAGAATGTATTACAAGGGCTGGGGATTTAGCTCAGTGGTCGCGCCGCCTGCCTCGCGAGTGCAAGGTACTGAGTTCGATCCCCGGTACTAAAAAAAAAAATGTATTACAAGAAAAGAGAGGTCCTTATTTCACAAAACTAAGTATGTAGCTCCCAAGCTTCAAGAACTGGTTTCATTTTGCTTTGTACAATTTTTTTTCTTTTTCTGTCCATATCATCCAGATCTCTTCTAACCTCTTAAGAGTAAACTGAAGATGCCGGGGATTTAGCTCAGTGGTTCCAACCGCCTGCCTCGCAAGCACAAGGTCCCAAGTTCGATCCCCGGTACCAAAAAAAAAAGAGTAAACTGAAGATAGATGGTGGAGAAATTTTAACCCTTTTCCTTCAGATAGCCATTATATTCTGTCAAAGCTACTAATTTTTTTCAAGCCTTGGTAATTATTTCTCAGGAGCATGTTCTCACATGTGGAAGCTAAAAACTTATCTCAAAAAAATTGACTAGAACAGTAGTTACCACAGCCTGGGAGGAGTAGGGAGAAGGAGTGCAGACAGGATGTTAATGGGTACAGAGGTACAGTCAGTGGACAGGAGTAACTTCTAATATCCTACAGTGTAGATTAAATCTACACCACAGCAGGATAACCATGGCTCACGCCATTAATTATTTCAAAATAGCTAGTAGTAAAGATTTGAATATTCCCAACACAAAGAAATGATGAACGTCTGAGGTGACAGATATGCCAATATCCCTGACTGATCATTATACACTGTATGGGCATATTAAAAGTCACTGTATCCCATATATACGTCACTGTCATTTAAAAATAAAACTACATTAAAAAATTGTAAATATTAAGAAATTTATTTTCCCATATATTAAACAGTATTATTCTCCTGGAAGGAAAACATGAAATGATGAGGACAGTACTTGAAAGTAAATAGAGACACAAAGGAATAGATCTGAACTTCCAGGGTTCATTTACAAAAAGAGATATATAGGGACTTCTTTTCTCCCTTCTCAGGAGAGTAAACACTTGGTATTCACCCTTAATATCTTAAAAACACAAAGCTTAAAGAAATTAATAAAAAGATAGCAATTTCATTTCATTATAACCATTCCATGGCATTATTCTCAATTCCAAACCGCTATTTTTTCTTTACCTTATTTTAAAAAACACTTGCCAAGTACCTATAAACAACCAGGCCTAAAATTACATTGGCTTGTTAAGTAAGGATATATTTCTGATCTTTGAAATATGTTTTCTTTTAAATCATTGAGACGATCTATTAGATCATAAACTTTACAACATCAAAAGAATTTAAAATATCTGAATTTCCAAGTTTGTAAAGTTCAATTTTCCTCATATACTTAAGTGGTGCTCCTAAACTATGTAAACTCTTTTAGTAAAAAAAATTACTCATGGAAATAAAGGAATTAACCACATACATTTGTAATGTTCAATATACAGTAAACACCTCAATATGTACCTGTGAAATAAAAGTTGAAAAGTTGTACTTGCTGGTGAAATGCAATCTCTGAGGCTCCTAAGTACTAGTTCAGCACCCAACTGCTGCCACATTCTGTCTCTAGTTTGTTGCCGATTAGACCCTTGATTTTCAAATTTATGGAGTTTTAGAATCACTTGGAAAATTTTAAAGGCAAATTCTTTGATCTTGTATCCTAAAAACTATAGCCCCAAAGTTTGTCCTTGTTTATTATGCATCCTTAAAGAGACTCTAGGAGTTGGAGGGTCACAACTTTGTGACCCTCCCAACTTACCCTCACAATAGCTAAGAAGAAACCTCTAGATTATAAATGATATTAATCAGAGATGAGAAGAACTATTTTTATTTTTATTATAAATTTCTCAATTATCTTAACCACAATTCACTAATGCTTAATAAGAATGCTTAAAATGTAAGTAAAATAACTTCTGCTTTGACAATGCAAACTGTCATTCAACCTACCAAAACACTTTTCTGAAATACTCCACAGTTATTGTTAATGTTTAGAAAAGGAGTCGTTAACAAAGCAAGTTAAGGATCATGAGCTAAAGAATCACTTATGTAACTGTGCTGTAGTTTAAGAGAAAAAGCATCACACTCAAAATTGAGAGTAGGTTACTGTGCTGCTAACATGGAAGCCACTAGACACATGTGGGCACTTAAAGTAAAATAAAATTTAAAATTCAGTTCCTCAGTTGCACTAACCACATTTTAACTGCTCAAAAGCCACATCCATGTAACTAGTGGCTAACACAGTGGACAGAAGAGAAAAAGAACATTTCCAACATCACAAAAAGTTCTATTGGACAGCACCGGTCTAGAGGTTGTAGGTATTTAGATTTTAAAAATTCAACATAGATTCTCCCGAATCAGTAGACTGAATCTGGCAACTGCAATTTTACATGCGTACATTTACTTTAGGTATTAACTACAGATATTAAGTATTAATTATAAAAGAACCCTACCATATTTTTTCTGCAATTTGTTTCAAGAAAGATCATTCAAAAGTAATTAACTTATCTGAGATTACCAAAATAGAAATATTCAATCAACAAGGTCTGAAAGTATCAAAGGCATTAAAACCACAACTAGGTTTTCACCAAATCAGAATCAATGAAAGTATATAATCACCAGAAAACAAAAGGTATTAGGTACAATAAAAGATTAAACTACTTAGTAAGATTTGTTTTCCAAGTATGTTACAAGCATCTATTTATATGCATAACAAATAACAACTGCTTTTATAATTGGTTTAAAAATAACCTTACCACAGTTAGCTCAAATTGGTGACATTTTACTGTTTACATTTTTAATTGCTTTCAACCAACCTCACACTAAAGATTTATAAATAATATAATGACCATAAGACTTTACTGCTTGTGGCAAAAAGTACACATAAAGTCCATGAAACAAATGGTAACTTCAAATTCCATCTCTTAATGCAAAATATCTAGCTTAAAAAACCCAGGATAATAAAACACATAGCATGGCAACAAGCTATTGAAACTATGGAATAACTTCCAATTAAAAAAAAAAAAGCCGATTACACAGAATTAAAACTTCAAGACAACCATATACCAATTCAAACTTTTCCCTCAAGAAGCTATAATCACTTTGACTAGTGTTTTCTTAAGTTCAAATGTACTGAAATATGATCACTAAATTACAGAAGACAATTATGATTCCAATCTGAAAATTTTAAGGGAGAATTTAAAAAACTATTTGACAGATTTAACACATAAAACCTAATACTAAAACCTACCAAAGTCAACAGGTAACACTGATTACAAGAAAGTTATGATGATTGTTGGTATAATATTCCTGTTTGGTACTGATTCCTTCTGATTATATTTACTTCAGAGATCTTTGTCAAATCTAAGATCTAGCAAAAAGGATTAATTGATCACTCCTAAAAACTGTTTAAAGAGTACTTAAAAAGATTTAACTTACCTGCAACACTAGTGATTGTAACTGGAACTCCCTGTACTTGAACGCCTGCAGCACCCAGGTTGGCAACGCTCACTGTCTGAAGGTTAGGCACTGATGCAAGCTGGGCAGTATTCAAAGTTATTGGGGCACCAGCAACAGCCACAGGAGCAATCTGAGCAAGAGTTGTGCCACCACTTGAAGACACTGGGGTGATGGTTAATTGCTGGGATAACCCAGCATTCTGAACTTGCAAATTTGAAAGACTCTGAATATTCTGAACCTGTACAGTTTGCCAACTGATTTGCCCTGAAGGTGTTAAAGTTGGAGCCCTGATAAGCACCTGAGTCGGATTTACTGCTTGAAGTTGAACATTCTGCAAAGGCTGCTGCTGGATGGTCTGAATAGTCTGCCCTGACTGGAGTTGAAATGACTGTGGTGGAATAGCCTGAATGATCTGTTGCTGAGGCTGTTGTATCTGGATCTGCTGTAAAATAGGCTGGCCTACAATTTGCACTTGCTGAAGAGAATTTGACTGATCCTGTGCATTCTGTATTCCATTAGACTGAAGTTGACTGGAGCTCTGGGCTTCAGACTCAGTAGCAGCAGGTGTTTGAGATTCTTCAATGGTGCGTTCAGAACTACTGGCCGATGTGCTTGCATACTGGCCCGTATCTGCTGAGCTCACTAATGTGTCACTGCTTGTGAGAGATGTTGACGCAGTGGTTGTACAGGTAGTGGAGGAGGAGGGAGATTCCGGCATAGTACTGGCAGAAGCAGTAGTGGTTGTGGGTGTGGAAGCTAACTGACTGCCATTGGAAGTCCCACTATCAGTAGTGGTAGCAGGCTGGCCAACTTGTCCAGTCCCTCCTCCAGCAGTCACACTGTTTATCACGGGCAAAGCTAAAGTCACTCCACCGATGTTAATTGGTAGGGTTGTTACAACTTGAGCCTGAGTACCAGGAAGGGTCTGTAACTGCAATGGTATAGAAACACCAGGTCTAATTTGGACTGGAACTGTCTGATTTGCCAGGTTTTGAGCAAGAATATTCCCAGAAGCTGTCCTGTTAGCAGCTGTGAGTATAGCTTGATTATTACCTGCAGAAATTAGCTGAATTTGACCCTGTAAATCCTGTAGAGATGAACTACTAGTTGGATTGATTTGAATTTGCTGACCTTCTACTGCCTGAAGTTGTGGAATCACTTGGTACTGTACACTACCACTTGGATTTTGTACTTGTATGACTTGAAATTGACCAGGGGTGGAAGAATTACCTGATTTAGTTTTGGTAGGAGATGCACTCCCGTTATTACTGCTGGAAGAACTAGATGAACTAGAAGCTGGTTGAGAAATGTTATTTTCTTTTGAAGCAGGAGGAGTGGAGGCAACAAGTTGCCAAGCGTTTCCAGCAAGTTGTGTTGTTACCAGTTCAAGCTGTTGTGGCTGATTCTGAAGTTGCACCAATCCTTGGCTTGGATCTATAATAATTTGTTGTTGTCCAGTTGCTTGATTTTCACCAGGAGTCCCTATTTTGCTGCAAGTAGCTGCCAGTAAAGCCAGAGGAGAGGGCTGAGAGTCCTACCCAAAATGAGATGGTAAAGGAAAGGGGAGGAAAAAGTGGGTGGATTTAGTGGAGGCCAGTAGTTGGGAGGGGGTTATTTATTTTGACAGCTCTACCTATCAGAACTTAGCTAGGAAGTGGAGGAAATAAAAAAGAAATATAAACAAAGGAAGGTAAGAACTATATGAATAAGAAAGCAGATCTTGTAAAGTTTAAATAAAAGAAATTTTCTAACAAACTTTAAGTGTTATGCTAAACTCAAAATGCCCTTGGAAAAATAGTTTTCTTACAATCTGAGCTTCTTGTGTAATATCAAACAATGCTATACCCTCAAATATGTAAAATGTTCATGAATTTACATTTCAAGTTCCTCACTCTCAGAAAGATGGTTTGAGTGGAGAAACATTTTTATTCTGTTCTTTACTTCTGGACATTTAAAGGACATAATTCCTTCTACCCCCTAATGCTTTACGATGAATTTTTTTAATGTTTATTTTTACCTGGGAGCCTGAGGTTTTGGTTTTTTTATTGTTATTCTCTGGCTCAGAGGTTTTCCCTCCTTCTGTAGCCATCGTCGCTGCTGCCGCCGCCTCCTCCTCCTCCTCCTTCTTCTGATCTGCAACAACCCCCCCCCACACACATACGACAACAGGTTATTAGAATTATTATTATTCATCTTCCCCCTCTCCTCTTCCCCCTCTCCCCCGAACATTAATCTCCATAAACCCGCGATCCATGCACACCGGCAGGAGGTGGGGGAAAAGGAGGGAAGGGAGGAGGGGGATATCACAAAACGTGGTTTGAAACCCGACCCATCGGCTCCAGAGCAACACCCAGAAGGAGGTTGTTCTCGCTCAGACATTAAGACAAAACACAACCCTCCTTCCCTCCCCGATTCCCTCCCTCCCTCTCCTCCTCCCCTAAAAGCATCTCAGCGGCCCCGGGGGAGGGGGGAGAACCGAGCGGGGTCTGGGGAGGGAGGAGGAGGGAGGCGGTGAAGGAGACCGAGGGGGGTGGAGAATACGTACCGCTCATCCCGCATTAACAGGACAAACCCTCAGACAGAGACACTGGGATAGAGGTGGGTGGGGGTGGGGGCGAGGCGGGAGGAGAGGCCGGTCCCGCCCGCCCGCGGTGGCTCGGAGGAGGCTGTAGCTGGCACAAGCTCTGCCTCTTTTTCCGCGAATGGCCGCCGCTGGGCTGTGGCGTAGCAGCTCCTCTCTCCGCCCGAGCCGGGCTGACTCGCCCTTGATTGACAGCGGCGGCGCGCCGCGCGGGCGGCGGCGCGGGCCGGGGGCGGGGCCAGGGCGGTGCGAGCCCGGCCGACTCCCCACCCCCCTCGGCCTCTCTCTGCCGGAGCCGCCGACTCTCCACCCCTTCCCCCAGCGGATTGGCCGCCGACCTGCCGGGGGCCGGGGCGCTGGGGCCGCCTTCTCTCCACCCCCTTTCCCGGGGTGATTCTTTCAACCGCTCTTCTTTTCCTCCTTCGGCTCCTCTCGCGCTCTTTCTTCGGCGTCTTGGCTCAGCGCGCTGCCGGTAGGCCCTCCATACAGCCAAACTTGTTGTCTCAGGATATCCCGCCCCCTACTCATTTCCCAGCGCCCTCCACTCAGAACCCCCCTCCAGCATCTCTCCGAGTGGCCACTTAAGGGAAAAGTAGGGCTATCACTGAAGGGAAACGAGAAGGACAGATGCAGAGGCGAGAGGACTCCGGAAGCCTCGGTGCGCGGACCGAACTGCCCGCTACCCCTGCGCAGCGAGCATGGCTTTCCTGAGGCGCATCCGGACCCGGGCGCCCTTTTTCCCTGGCTCGGCCCCCATTGGCTGAGCCCCTGCTGACGAGCACTGAGTGGTGGGGAAAGTGGGTGGGCCTCTGCCGCGAAGCCTATCGGTCCTCGTAGTTCCTCACGGCCGCGGGGGGGGGTCCCTCCGAGTCTCCGCCTGCCTCCCGCCCTCGACCGAGGCCAGGCTGCGGAGCGGAAAGCTGCTGCCCGAGGGGGCGGTGGCGGCAGGGCGTGGCCCGGGCCGAGTGGGAGTTGAACCGAGCGAGGGGGAGGGGGAATGGGTGTTGTTTCCCTGGGCCTATCCGCCGCACGGGGCTGCCCAAACCACCTCTGCCACCGCCTCCTCGGCTCCAAGCCGCTCCCCGCGGGGCGAGCTCACGCCCGGAGCGCTCGGCGATTGAGCGGGCGGCGGCGTGGGGAGGCGGGGTTTGCTGTCCTCCGGGTTTGAATGAACCCGGCTTCTTGAAGTAGCTTCTGCATCTTGCTTTCTTTGCTCACCTTCTACTCCAGCTCTCTCCCACCCCCGCTTCAAGCGCGAGGCCTGTTTTCCCACAGAGAAGGATCTTCCATTTTTATTTGTTGTTTCTGTGGCGGGTTTTTCGTGCAAGGCAGGGACCCACCTTCCAGGGCTGCATGGTGTGTCGCCAGAGAGCCCTCATGGTTGGCGAACTTCTCACTCTGTTCATTCTCAAGATTCTCCAGGCAAAGAAAAGCCCAGCCCCATGTGGGTCAGCCCTGCCAGTTTTAGTATAAGCTTCTGTGCAGCAGGGAGTCACACCTAGCTGCTCAAAAGCATTTTCTTATCCAGTGCACTTGACTGGTCTGTCCCTAGCTTTCCTCCAAAGTCCTGAAGTCAAGATGATGCCCTGGAGTATAACCAGTGTCTGATTAAGAGTACCAAAGGTGGTAGTGAGTCTCTAATGTAAATATTGGCTTTAAGGACCCATCCTTACCCAAGTTTAAAGTCATCTACTTTTTTTTTTCACCTGGCTCCACAGGCAGCCTTGGGCGTTTTTTGTCTTTTGCCTGAGGTCTGACGTGTTGCAAGGGTGAGGTGGTCCCAAATGCTACACTTGACTGGCATTTCCTTTGGTTGTTAAAGTTATTTGTAACATGGGTTGATGACAAAGCTTTGTAGCGATGAAACAAAGCAATTCAAATAAAGACATAGTACTTACTGTCTGCTCCATCTTACAAAATGAGTTGGAGAGCCATTAAATAACCGCTACACACACACACACACACACACACACACACACACACACAGCACATGTACACTATGGAAAGCTCAGAAGTTCAAAAATGCTTTTTACTTTAACAGATACATTGTCTATCCTACGCCCACCCACAGTTCACCGTAATGAATTAAGGAAGACATTTTGCAGTCTCATGAATTGAGGGATTGATTCCTTGTGGTTTTCTTACCTTGCAAAACCTGCTTTAGAGGTAATGTCACCGTCTCTGAACCATAGGTCATTCACTGTAGATCTACAAAGTGTCCTAAGTGTTTGACACCCTACAGATAAGTGGAGATACTGATATCCACGAGATATAGTTAGAAGCCCTGATGTTATGGTACACCAAGAGCTTCTAGTTGCTGGGTGCCATGGACTGGATGTGTCCTTCCCATTTATGTGTTGAACTATAACTCTCCCTCCACTATGATGGTATTAGGATGTAGGGTCTGTTGGAGATCATTAGCATTAGTTGACATCATGAATGTGGAGCTCTCATGAGTACGATTATTGATTTTAAAAGGTTCAGGAGAGGACTTGCTTCCCTGTGCTCTGTTTTCCTCCATGTGAAGATATAACCAGAAGTGGGCAGTCTGCAACCCCCAAGAGGGCTCTCACTAGAACCTCAAACTTCCAGCACCCAAAACTGTGAGAAATAATTCTGTTGTCCATAAAATACCTAATTTATGGTATTTTGTTATACAGCCAGAGCTGAGTAAGACTGGCTGAACAATGAGACCTAGGGCCAGTGATACATTAATCACTTCTTAGTGGCCACTATCATTTTGTTATCCACATAGATGAGATTTTTTAAGAGCAGTGTTATTCCCACACCACCTGCATAATTTAAGCTATGATTTAATGATTTTCTTTAAACCAGTTTGCTTCTGTGTTTAACAATTTAATACGAGTTTATATCACTACTGTAGATGAAAACTAGTGGTGTAGAGATCATTACTGACAAACACTGCCCTTTGCCCAAACTTGAATCAGGATCTTCTGAATCTTCTTTCTGACTATTTCTAACCTTAGGGTCTATCTTGAGTCTAGTGGCTTTGCTTCTCTAGTCCAATTTTACCATGAATCCTGCTGGGTCTGTTTGATGAAAATCCCTCATCCAGGTATCTGACCCAAAACCCCACATTCTTCATCCTTGATATATCATTTTGGCCTACCTTCAGTAATAATCTGTGTTAAATCAGTTCAGCCAGAATCTCCCTTTATCCTGGATATTTGCTTAGTAATTTTCTATCTACTGACATCACTGGCCTCCTTGGCTACCTATCTCTACTTGTTGTTCTATTAAGAATGGCGCCTAGGGGCTGGGGATTTAGCTCAGTGGTTTTGACGCCTGCTGCGTAAGTGCAAGGACCCGAGTTCAATCCCCAGTACTGAAAAAAAAAAGAATGGAGCCTAGTCTCTCTTCTCCATTGCAGTGCAGTGGTCTTTATACTTCTCTATAGACTCCCTTGAATAAAGTCTTCCTTACTGTCTTAAAAATATGACGATAAGTAAATTTGACAAAATTCTCAGCTTCAGGGCTGCCAAGGATGGTCTTTTCCCTGAGGAGGAAATTAGCCTTACAAACTTTCCTCCTACATTCATGCTTCCCACAAAATAATGGCTTTCCAACTCTTAAATTATGACCCTCAGGAGTAAATACATTTTGCATCATGACCCAGTGTGTACAGAGACACACAAAAGAAAGCAACGTTGCACTTTTATTCTAAAGGTTTAACAATATTGAGTGCTGACTACTCAGAGCAAACATTGGCAGGATTTCCAAGCAGTATCATAGGGACTCCTGATATACATTACTCTGCAGTTGCTGGTAGAGATCTAGAGGGTGATGAAATTATGTTGGGGGTCAAGGAGGGAACTTGGACAGTAGTCTAAAAGTAACACCTTTTAGAGTCCAATCAGTGGATATCAGTTGAATGAATATCTGCCAACTCTGGTAACTGAAACAATGTCTCAAGAAAAATATAGTCTTCCTGTATGTGATGTTCTCTACTTCTTCCCCTACCCTGCCTTTCAAAATATTCTAGGGTCAGCTCAAGAGTTTGACATACTAGTATCCTATTGACTCTCCCATGACAGCAGTCCTTCTGTAGGAGCAGGAAGTTCTTGTTTCTGTTTAAACTGCAGAACAAGTCTAGAATTCCAGCAGGTCTCTTGTGTATTACTAAACATCTACATCAACTCTCAGTCTGCATTTGGAAAAATCCTGTTGAAATGCTTCACAAGTTTCTTTCAGATATACAGTATCTCCTGGTCACTACTTTCTAGGACTTGGCATTTCTCAATTGACTACTCTTTCAACCAACAAGTCTGAATGCCACATATAATCTTGATAAAATGAATATTCCTTTTCCCCCAGGGCAAGGCCTTAGCTCTTGGAGGGCAAAGGCCAGGCCAAGGAGTAGCAAGGGTGCTTGAAAAGAACAAAGGTATTTTGGGGAAGGTACAGGTCCAGATGCTCTGGTCACCCACCCATCTGGGGTACTGATGCCTATCTGGACTTACTGGACCATATGGTACAATTACAATATAATCTCAAGTTATAGTTTATCGCTTAGGGAGGCATGTAGGCCTGGCCATTGCATCTTTATCTTGAGGCCCGGCCTTCTTCAGATACACCACCAGCCACAAATCTGATGTCTTTATTTTTCACTGACTTCCTTGAGAACCCAGTCCCTCTCTGTATATTAATTTCTGTCTAACTTAGCTGCCTATAATAATTTTATGTTTGGAAAGTAGGAAAATGTTTAGAAAGGCCACAAACCAGAAAGAGTTCAAAGTTTAACATCCACCTTTGCACCAAAATGCATTGACTGAGAATGCAGCCAACCAGGAATCAGATACCAGCTCGGTTGAACATAGTTCATTTAGAACAAGTGGCTTATGTGGCTGGGGATTTAGCTCAGTGGTTCCGCCTGCCTTGCAGGTGCAAGGACCCAAGTTCGATTCCCGGTACCAAAAAAAACCAAACAAGTGGCTTCCATAGTACATTTAGAAAATTTGCATAGTTGGTGCCATAGTAAAGCCCTGGTACTATATAAAATTACATTAATTAAAAATAAATTTCTTAATCAATGATGATTGTTTCAGGAAGCAAAGGAAGTTTAAGAAGTTTAATGTAAAATAATTGAGACCAGAGTATAGACCATTTATATAAAAATAGGTAAAAGGTAACTATGTGTGTAGGCCCTTTAAGAGTTATAAATAATGTTTGTAACTGGAATT